CATTCTCTTAGTACAAACAGCTGGTCATCTTGTCTTCTTTTCCTGATAACCTTGGAGTTGCTTGTGGTGCAGGCGCCGCACTTTCCCATTCTTGGTTAACTGTTCACTGGTTTGATTTGATTTTATTTTTTTAATCATTTTTTATTTTAACTTTAAATAGCTTGTTTTACATGTCAATCCCAGTTCCCTCTCCCTCCCCTCCTCCCGCACCCCCCCCCAGCCTCCCACCCTATTGCCAATTCCTTCCACATAGGGGATATCTAGAGTCTGTCATTTCACTCCAGGTAGGGTCCAGGCATTCCCCTAAGAGTCCAGGCTGAGAGAGCATCCCTCAGTTCTTCTGTAGGCAGCCCCACAATCCCTTATTTCACAACTATAATGATACTGTCATTTCTAGAAACACTATTTCACAGCAGTTCTCCCTAACCTCTCTGCCTCATACAATTATGAATCCCTCTTTTTTGATGATACTTGAACCTTGTGGGTATGCTGTAATGCCTCATTTGTGGCTAAGAAGTCCACAATCCCTTAGTATTTGTGCTTTGACTAGTTGTGACTTTCTGTAACAATCACTGTCCACTGCAGTGAGAAGCTTCTCTGATGAAAGGTGGTAGTGTAGTGTGTGGCCACACTAAACTTCAAGTAGAACCCCAAATATTTAAAAGGAAGTTTGACTATCAGTCAGTTTAGCAAAACAACAATAGTGGATCATCTATGACAGTGTATAATGTGCCTAACTGAGAATTCTTGGTCAGGTTTAAGGTACTAGGCAAGATCTTACTCTTTGGAGCATCCAAACAGTACTATGTGTAGTCACACACTCGGATGGGTAATCAAGCTGTGGCCCTATATCTCAAGGAAAAATGCTCGTTCTTTCTCCCAGCCACCATTAACCCCTGATAGTTCCTCCTGAGATCCTGCATCATCTCTATTGGAATTTTATCTGACTTAATCTTCTGCCAATATTGTGGAGATAACCAAAGATGCTGTAAGTTCATCTGGGAAGCCGTCAAATCATATCTAAAAGACAACATTATCCTATACTTACTGCCATTCTCCAAATCATACGTTCTTTCTGCCCCCTCATCTTGGATGTTCCTGGGTTTTGTGGATAAGTTAGGAACACAAAAGGACCATTTTTGAAAGCATTATTAGACTTACTTTATTTTCTTTTTAATACTCAGGGTAAGAAAGAACAGAATGCCTTTCTTTTTTCACAAGTACGATTTCTTTGAGTCTCTGTTTTTATGAAATTAAAGCAGTGATTATAGTACCTAGATGCAAACATGCTCAGGAAACATTTTAGTATTGGGTGAAGAATATGAATTTGAAAAACAGCCAAGTTTAAGTTACACTGCTAAATCTTCTTTCAATAAGTGTGTGATTTTCTACATCTCTCCTGGTTTCTTTAAGTATCAAGGTCATGTTTTGTAAAATAAACTAAATAATGCTTAATATTAATTATAGACATACTTCAGTTGCTAGGTCACACATTTATACAAATAGACAAAATGACCACCATTTCCCTTTGTACTCTAAATGGTATGATTACCACTTTTGCCTACCTACCTGTCTTCGTACCACTTCTCACCTCCCTGAAAATAGAAAATAAGCATTGCTTTGATAATGTTTCTATGAATGAATGATTTTTCTTAATACATTAATTTTATTTATTTCAAAATAATACACAGGAATGAGGAGGTTGTGCTATCTCTCAGTACTGTGTAGTGGAGGGCTAAAGGATTAAGAAGCATCTTCTACTTATAGTAGTCTATGTCTAGGAGACACAAAAACTCTTATCATCCCAACCAGTTTTAAATGATGTTAAAAGCCAAGAGCCTTGAGTAACTCGTGGATAATAGATCATTTATAAATGTGGTTAAAAGAAATCCAGATTTTGTATTCATTCTCAGGATGTAACTTTGGAATCAGTCCCTCTAGTAGAGCATGCCAAAGTAGTGTGCTTGTAGCTTCCAAGAGCCCCTCCATTTCAAGTGAGGAGGTAAACACTCTTGCTTTCTTATGAAACTGGACAGTGGATTTTTCAATAATGTTTGATACCTTTGTGACAATGCACACCTATTAATGATCTTGTTTAATCTCCTGACAACTTGTGTCTTTTGAAATGAGGTTGATACCACTTTAATCTTTGACCAGTCCTGGGATATTGTTTGGGAATCGTGTGGAGTTTGGGTCTACTGTGTCTTAATTCTGTTAGCATCATGCTCTTCCCTGTTGACCTGAATATCAAACCCTCGGGCTTGCTGAAAGCTCCGTTTTATTATCTCTATCACTAACCTAACATTTATTGAAGATTTGATGGTGGACACTAGCAACTTTTTATGTCATTTCCTAAGTTCCCCTGTACATCGGAGTGGCTGAACCAGCGCTGTTGTTCCTACATATTATGTGGGAACTGCCACTGTCTCCTGTTAGCAAACCCTCACAAGTTCTCCTCAGTTACATCTTTCCATACACGAGTCTAGATTCAATAGCTCCTGTACCTTTACTATTTTCTGTAGGTCTTTACAGCACATTTGTCTTCTCGGACCTTAACCTAGAGACAACCTGTAAGTCATTTTCTGCTTTCACTACTTCCCATTATTTCTTTCCTAAATAGCATTAACATTTCTTTTAATCCATTTGAGGGTAAAGGGACTTTGCTAGAGATATGATTTTTCTAAGTCTTCCAGGCTACCCATAACTTTTCATACATGACAACAGGATAGGAATGGAGAGAAATACTGAAAATTAAGCATTTTACCTGTGAATATCTGGCAAACAGTAGCTATTTCAATATATCATATGATTACAATGTTGCTTAGAAAGATGGTTTATAATGAAATAATATCAAGTAACATTCCTAATTCCATATTGTATTTGCGGGGCTAGAGAGATAGATCAACATATAAAAATGCTTACTGGTCTCCCAGAGAACATAGGTTTGGTTCTCAACAGCCACGTGGCAGCTCATAATTACTTGGGACTACAGTTCCAAGGAGTCTGATGCCCTCTTCAGGTCGCCATATCCTCCAGCATACATATGACACACATACACTCAGGCTGGCAAACTTAAAAATAATGAAAACTAATAAAGAAATCTGTATTACTTGACAAACTTTTTTTTTTGGTTTTTACGAGACAGGGTTTCTCTGTATTGTTTTGGAGGCCATCGGTCCAGCCCGGCCTCGAACTCACAAAGATCTGCCTGCCTCTGCCTCCCGAGTGCTGGGATTAAAGGCATGCGCACCACCGCCCGGCACTTGCTAAACTTTTAAGTACCCTGTAAATACAGGGATCAGAAACAATATAATAGAAACAATACACTAGAAGCTCTGTGAACTCATATTTATCATTAAGGGGAATTTCTAAAAGGAAACACATATACTTTATAAAAACGCTTTCTTCAAGTAGTAAAATTTAGGGCACTAAATAATTTGTAAGAAAGATCAAATGGATGGGGAGCTCTAACAATTAATGCTTAGCATATAAACAAATATCCTCCCAAGATCCATGTAAGAATCACAAATCAGTAAATATGTTTTTATTATAACATATCCATATACATTAGTTTATATTTACTATCCGACTTCAAGCAAACACAGAGTACAGATAGAAAAGCTAAATGTTTGTACAGATTAGCTGCATTTCTTTCATGCCAATCCAAACTAATATTAACCTAATCCACCAGGCATTTGTCTTTAAACTTTTACATTATAGGAAAGAGTATTATTATTTTAACCAATGAGTTCATTATAGCATTGATCTATTTCCACACAACTCCCCTTTCCCAAGTTCAAATTTTATAGTTATGAAACTCTAAGTCCTGTCCCAAGATAATTCAAGATAATTGTAATTATTTTCATATATGCTGCAACAAGTTATTCTCATACCTGGACTCAAAGCTACCAATATCCTCAACACACTAGTGCTCAAATTTGTTTTCTAGAGAATATTTGATTTCATTAGCTACCTAGCTTTCAGACCTCAGTGTCGGGCAGCTCTTTGTATGGTTCTTTAAGAATGAGAATATCTAATCAAAAGCATGTTAATATCAGATCAAACTTTTACATGTCAGAGATTATTAAAATAATTTGAACTCTTATCTCCTGAACTGCCAAATTACAAACAATTATTTTCTGTCTTATCTCAGAATGTGGTTGTTACGAGACAGTGTTGTTCACAGAATTTGGACATGAGTTCATACCATGACAGACACATAGCTAGTAAATTATGTGACTTTACTTCTGATCCTTAGTTTCTTCATTATAAATTGGGTATGGCAGTTTCTCAAAGAAATATTCTGTCATTAGGATGTATGCTCATATCTATAAGAAAGCCTATTACAGTGCTTGTATACATGGAAGGTATATAGTTAATAGCTCTTTTAATTCCCCTCACAAATCCCCACTCCTTGAATGCTTGGTATTACAGTTGTCTAAATTTTATTACTAGCCTTTCGTCCTTTCTAGGATGTAACAACTATGTAAACAGTAAATAAATTTAAAAAGTTACTAATCATCTCAGAAAAGTCAGCCTTAATTCTTTCAAAGAACTCAGAATATCTTCTTAAATCTATGATCTCATAAACTAAAGGAAACACCTATTTTTCTGTGTTTCATCTATGTGATCCATGATGGCAGTCCATGATAACCGTGGTTACATTTTTACATATGAAATATGGTAACATCAGTATTTCATGCTGTATCTGCTCAGGAACCCTAAGTATTACTGAATTCCCACTTTTCACTGTGTACTCCTCAACTCCTCTATGTAGATCCAAGCTCCATATCTTTGAAGAAGAATGTCATAAAAAATTAGTAATGGCTGAAGGAATTATTGCACAAAACAATTGTTTTCTAAAATTTTCTTATAAGTTAAAAATTATAGAATATGTATCAACTATTACTGTTTATTGGTATATTACTTATCTTAAAATAACATTGCTGTCAATAAGGAAAATGAACCCAATCCATTAAAATATTCTTGACATTTCTTACCTCCTAGAAGTTAAATATGAGTTAAACTCTGTGGTCTCAGGAGATCGCTTCCTTTATACACTTCTCTTGATAATGCTACTCTATGGGGCAGAAAAGATATATCATATAGACAGAGTGCTAAAGAAACCTTCTCCAGATATCTCCATGCACAGAACTTTGATTGTATGAGCTCAAGGCTTTTCTCTCTGTGTTCTACACTCAGAACTCAGGTAACTGCCTACCAGCCAGCAGTTCCCTCTCTCAGGAATGAAGGATAAAAGTGAGAAAACTACTGAAGATCCTTAGGGAAATGAGATTCCCTAAAATTTGGATGGAACAGGAGGGAAAGGTGTACTCAGAATATCCAAGACAAAGAGCTCATTCCTGGAGTTTTGAAGAAAAAGGAACTAAGTGAACCAGTTGCCAGGACAACCTGTGTTGTGGAGAAGGGGTGGGACAAGGAAATGGGTGACCTATGCATACTTCTGTTTTTACCTCTGTCCCTGTCAGCCTTTCATGGGGTCAAAGGCTGTTTGGACTGTGACCCCAAATTCATAGAGGATGTTAGGACCTTGTTGGGAAAGCTGATACCTGTAGAAGTTCCTGGGAGAGCTCAACTGCTTGACAGGCAGCATAAGGAGATAACCCACTTAAGCTCCAAGGTCTCTCACAAGGATAAGACGCTTCGGTTGTTGGGTGAGGGAAGTTTGAGTCCTGAGAGTTTGGGAGGTTAAAGGGAGAAGGGAGGTATGGAAGAAAATACCTGGGTTCACTTCATATCCTTCAAAGATTTGATTATTGCCTGCCCCACATGTACCTTTCTCCCTCCTATATAGCTGTTCGAAATGTTGTCAAATTGAGAGAATGGCTCAAGCATGAATTTTATAGACTGGGAAATGAAACATGGAAAGGTAAGACATTGTTTCACTGTCAAAACTTTTATGGTAGAAACAGGTAAACATATCTGAGGAAATTTGATTAGGGAGAGCAAAGCAAAATAACTAAAATTAAATTCTGAAATAATCACCCTAATTTCTGATACCCTTTCCATTTTTTCCTTAGGTGTCTTTATCATTCAAGGCAAGCTTCTTCATGTCCGTCAAAACCTGGAATTGGAACTGAAAGAAATACTAAAGAACTTCTCTGAAGTTGGTAATGAGACATTTCTACCTAACAACACTGAAAATATGTCAGAGAACAGGACCTAAGGGGTGAGGAGAGGAACGAGGGTCCAGGTTACAATAGGTCTAGTTGGAGTGATAAAGGGATAGATAGCAGGGATACCATGGGTATATATAAGACACATGGGAAGTTGATTCTAAGCTCATTGGATCTTTCTGATTCTCTTTTAGCTTGTTCAGAAGATTGCAGTGAGTACAGTGCATGTGACGCCTTGAGGTTTCAGCCCATATTTTCCCATCTGCTTTCTCTGTTTGCTCTTCTCTCCCAGTATTTAACTTGGAACCCAGTTCCTAGAGCTGTAGAGGAAATATAAATAATACCTGATGACAAAATTGAGCTTATAAGATTTTATTCACCATACAGTTTGAAAGAGTGCTCAATGCCTCCCCACCACATGGCTATACTGCTCCAACATAGGCTATGAAATCTTTGCTCCACTTCATCCATGGGCAGTTAAGATTTTTATAATCTTTGAAATTTTAAGGATCTTGACTGCTGGAGGAAGGATTGTAATAAATGTAACTTAAGAGTCCTGGGAATGTCTGACATCTAATCTATATTTATGAGCTAAGGAACACCCTTGCCATATCCCTTTTATAATTATATTTTTCTTTGCCAGTTTTAACTGAAGGTCCTGTCCTTGACTGTTGGACCTGTCTTCGCATGACCACCCGGTGTTTCAGAGGAGACTATTGTAAAGGTGACATAGGCTGTGATATGGCAATTTGAGGGGCATGGCTCAAGGAACTAGATGGCTCATTGACTTTTTTCTGAGTGCTTTTAACAAAGCTTATAGTAATGCTTAAAAAGAGCTAACATGTTGAGTAAAATGTATATTAACATGAGTAAATTAGAATAAATTCAGTGGACTGGGTGAGAAATGAATAGCTCTGCATTCTGGATACTACTACAGAAATTATTAGCTAAAGGGCAGTAAGTGGAAAAATGTGAAGGGGGACTAAATCAAGAAATCCAGAAATAGTGATGAAGCAGGCAATGGTCAACTCATTTGAAATGAGTCCATTCTTTATAAAGATTCTCAATTACTATTACTCATCTTCCAAACTCATTTACTTTACTTTCTATTCTCCTTCCAGACGAGAATCCAAAGAAGGCTGAAAATCGAGAGATTGCACTATATCTGATATTGATGGCAGAAGCTGTAATATTGGCAAGTGCTGTGTTACTGTGAGTTTTCCACGCTCCAAGCATTCCTTTGCCAAAGAGACTGTCCACACTCCTTCCTCTCTAATGGAAAATGGGGAAAGAAATAGTCAGAAGCTTGATGCAAGTAGTAGATAGAACATAAGAGAACACAAAATAATCCAGGAACAAAGAAAACAGCTATGTAATTATTTTAAAAATATTGCTTCTTATATCTAAGTATGGATTGTCCATTCTCTATTCCAGATTCCATTTCTGCATCTCACATCGGAGGAAAATGAAAGTAATACGAAGGACACTGAAGACATATTTGGAGAAGAAACTTGAAGAATTAGTGGGGATGGTAGATAAGGATGATGAGCAAAAAGATTTGGAGACCCAGAAATCAAATCTGAAGTCTTGAACAGGAGATCCTTCAAGTGTTGAGTCAGAGTTGCAAACTGGGACTTGAGTTCCTGCATGGTTATAAAATCACAGCATCTTAAAAGTGAAATAGAACTTAGGGTTTCTCCAGTGAATATCCTTACTGGCATCCTGAGACAATGGATGAAATGAGAGGTCAAATGATTTACCCTGAGTTATACAGCAAGTAAACTGGTATGCTGCAACACACATAAGAAACAATATGCCATGTACAAATAAAAAGGCATTGTTAGTCACTCTCATGAATGGCAGTAATTAGGGTAACTTCCACATTTATAAATCTGTATTTTATTTCTATTTTTATTTTATTTGTTTCCACATTTACCATCAGGTCCAATGTAGATGATTCCCTAGATAAGATAATTAAGCTTTATCATAATATCTGAATCACATGTGTATGGGTAAAATAAAGTCCAAAAATACTAGTCCCGAGTAGCTCAGGTTTGTCCAAATCACTTTTTTTTCTAAATCCATGTCTCAAAAAAAGTTTGGTATTTTTCCTTATTAGTGTGTCTGGTGTGTATGCTAGCTTACTTCTGTATGGAAGCACGTGTATGAAGATGTAGTGTGTGTGTGTGTGTGTGTGTGTGTGTGTGTGTGTGTGTGTGTTACGACCCTTCATAGATCACTATTACACCTGATACTTTAAGGTTTCTCAGTCAAACTCAGATTTTGCCAGCATGGCTAGTCTTGATAGCCAATTGTCACAACGATCACCTTTCTTGGATTTCCAAGGAAGGAATTACAGGTGACTTGAAACCTTCACATAGTATCTACTTGGATTCTGGACCCCCCCCCCCCCCCAATTCTGGTCTTCTTGCTTTCCCAGTAAACATTTTGTCCACTAAGCTATCTCAAAAACCAATATTCCATGAGACATTTTCCATTGAATATATTTATTTTCATATTATCTTAATTATTGTGTTGCATATGTATATATACATTTATAATCAAGCTATCTAACCAAACTTGTGAGTAATCACTGTTGTCTCAGTAGAGCTGAGGAAATAGAAGATACCTAATGTAAGTATGAAAAACTCCTTTGATGAGTGATAAATTCTCATCAAAGCCTTCTGACTAGTATTGATAAGCAAATACCTAATTGTGGTAGATTAATGAAAATCATAAAAGTAGAATTATATTTGTAACATATTCTTGATTATGCAATCAGCACATAACAAAGTCTATACTAAAACACAGGCCTACTTAGTTCTAACATTCATGGCCATTACATTTTGCCTTGCTTCCTTTTAAAATTTTTTCAGAGGAGAAGCACCACAAATTATCAGCATGAAACAAATAGTAAATCAGTCTTAATTCAGTGATGGGTACTGATGTTGCAAATTATTCCATGCTGTAGAATTCTGAGTGCTTGCTTAGGCCTGCTCCTATGTGAATTACATGCTGAATGATGAGGATTGTCTCAAAGGCACTTGGACGTTAATATCGCTGGGTGATTAATTTGGACTTTATTCTAACAGTCAGAAGATACTGTTATAGAACACCTCTCATTTCTCAATGACTAAAAGCCAACCCTTTTATATCTTACTCTGATATATTATCCTAATTCATAAAATACATAATTGTCTTTACATTGTTTTAGTTTTAATTACAGGAAAATATATACAGGTAATAGAACTGTTAAAATTCATGGTGATGGAGTTTGTTTTAGAGCAATATGCTATCATTTTGTGTTTAATAATATTTCCTGAACAATCAAGGTACACATATGTTGTAAATATAGTGAAATGACTAATGTAAGCAACCATATATTGGCTTGTTATCCCTTATCTTTCCTCTGTTATCTAATGTCCCCTAATTTGTGAATCTTTTAAATCATTTCTAGTGTATCTTCATCAGGTTTTTAGATTAAAAAATAATATGTGGGACTGGAGAGGCTGGTCAGTAGTGAAGAGCCCTTGCTGTTCTTTCAGAGGATGAGTTTTTGATTCCCAGCACCTACATCTCATATCACAAGCAGCTATAATTAAATTCCTGAGAAACTAGAGACCTCTCCTGGTCTCTGGAGGTAATAGACACACATGCAATGCATGTAACTTACATGTAGGCAACACCTGCATAAACATATAATAAATCCTTAAAACATATGTATATGTCGGTGCCTATATCTCTGTATGTGTAACACATGCATGTCTGGTGCCCACTGAAGCCAGAAAAGGGCATAAAGTCCTAGCAATGGTTTCAAAGGTGATTCTGAGCTCTGTTGTGTCTACTGGGAACTGAACCATGTTCCTCTGCTAGAGAAGCCAGTGCTTCTACCATCTGAGACATTTCTCTAACCCCATGTTTCATCATTTTTAATATACTTTAAACACTGAGGAGTGGTTAAGCATACTCATGTACAGTAATAGTTGATTTTATGAATTACATAATTATGTATAAATTTTTAATGATATCAGGCTAGTTTTTATACATTCCTTTGTAGATTTAAAAAACATAGATCTCTGAGCTGCAGGCAATTAATGACTGCTGAGCTAGGTCTTCTCCAGGGAGAAAGACACAACAGGTTATCAGATCCACAGAAGTATATATATATATATATACATATATATATATAATATTTACAAATAATATACATAATTAAATATAATTTACACAATATAAAATTAAGAGATTATGAATTTGAGGTGTGGGAGAATGTGAGAGGAACTTAAATGGAAAAAAGAGGAAATGATTTAAATACAGTACTAAAGCAAATTCTCAAAATAAATTTATTACTTGAAAAAAATTAAAAATAAACAAGTCAAAACATCTCTCCCTGGGCAGAATCCTAGCAAGAGATTTTAGGTAAGATTGCTCTTTATAGATGACGATATCAAATCACTTAAAGAATTGGTAATAGTGTTTTCAATATGTTGATATAATTGCAGTTTGTCTTCTGGAACCTAGAAAAAAAATTTTTGTTTTTTGTTTTGAGACAGGGTTTCTCCATAGTGCTTGCCCTGGACTCACTCCGTAGACCAGACTAGCCTTGAACTCACAGAGACCCACCTGTTTCTGTGCACCACCAACACCCAGCCGAACCTAGAAAATTTGATGGACTATATACCAAATAGAAATAAGTGACTTGATAAACAAAGAAGCCATACACAAAAACATAATAAAAAACCCAAAATTTAAAAAAATAACCCCTATCTCCTCAGGCTTGCTCTTCTCTGTTAATGATACCACCATACTCTTTCTTTATGAGCTCTCATGTAGCCATAGAAGTCAAAAGAAACTGATCAGATATTAATAATATTAAATATTTAAAATAAACCATGTTTTGTGTAAGTAAAACTGGATATTTGATACCGGTGTTTTGGAAATGCCCAAAGTGATTAAGAAATTGATATCAGATTTGTACATTTAGTAACCCCTGAAAGTCACAGAGGTGACAAGATAAAGTAACCTGAGAAACTTCCTGTGAAAATGGTTGAAGTGAGTGTCTAGCAAAGCTTAACCAACAGAAATCAAGGATTTTATTGTTGGTACAAGTCATAAGAGAATTTAAAAATTGTGTGAGAATAATAACCATGATGATAAAATAATAGAAAAGAAATATTAAAATTGAATGAGTCTAGTAATAATTTTGTGATTTAGATTAAAAAACATCAATAATATGTCAAACACATTTAAGCACACCTGTCAAAGAAACGTCTTAATCATCTGGGAGGTGTTGGTACAATCCTGGCACTCAGGAGGCAGAAACAAGTGGATCTCTATGAGTTCTAGGACAGTCTGGTCCACAGAGCAAGTGCCAGGACTCCAAAGCTACAAAGAGAAACCATGTTTCAAAAAAAAATAAAAGAAACCTCTTTATCTATGGAGAAGTCACAACATTACAGAATTATAAAACTCAATGGATGAAGAATGATTTATTGAACCCTGTGCCTAAATGAGTTTTTCTCCTTTCTAATGCAGAGGGAACATTTTAAAAATGTGTGTGTCTTGCTGATTTTAATTGGCTTTTCTTGTTTAACAAGGTTTCAGTACTTCTGGATACCATAACTAGGATATCCTACAGTTAAAAGGGATTTCTCACCAATGGAATGTGGTAGCATATGAGGAAATCTAAGATTGTCACATGGAAATGTAAGCAGCAGGGGTTGGAGAAATTGCCCTGTGGGTTGAAGCAATTTCTGTAGAAGCATGGGAACCTAGATTCAAATACTTAGCACCTAAAATGTCATGTTATGAAGCCATGCATATACCTTTCTGAATTTGAGGGTAGGCTGGTATACTTAGTGAGGTCCAGTCAGCTAGAGGTACACAGGAAAATCCTGTCTCAGAAAAGAAAAGAAAAGAAAAGGAAAAAACACAGTAAAATTCATGAATAACCAAGCCATGTGTTTAACACCAGTTCTGTGCAAGACAGAGTGAAGGACCCTTGGGGAGTGCTGACCTTCAACAAGTAAGAAACCCTGCCCCAAGGAAATAAGAAAGAATGGTAGAACAGGTCACAAAACATCTACAGTTTTCCTTTGCATGTGTAGCATCATTTGTATACACACACACACACACACACTTTAAAAATTAAGAGAAGAAAGTACATTTGAGTGTTTTTCCATCTTCACTAATTATAGGTATTTCTTTACAGGAATATCTTAGAATACTGCAATGTTTGTCATTTGAATTTCCAGCCATTTAAAAAGGAACTAATTTTTTGGAATGTTAGAACTGCCACTAACATATATCATAAAGGTTAAAAAGAAATTTGCAACATATTCTGAAACATTAATATGAATAACAATTATTTATACAATGGACAGTGCAATTAAAACTTGACAACAAAAATATCATGCATTTGTAAACTCAAATTCTTATTTCTAAGTAATTTATGAATAAAGATGAAATTATTCATCAAATAATTAAGTGTTAAAACTAAGCAAGTGGAAACATTACTTATCGTATCTTCTGAACAATGGCTAATATAGTATGCATTGAAGCATGTAACATTCTAACCATCATATCTCAGAACAAGAATATTCAAATTAATTCACCAGGAAATTCAAGCCAACCAAGTAAAAAAAAAAGGAAAAGTAATACAAAAGGAGGAAAATTAGATTACATAAAAAATAAAGCAGCAAATACAGACAGCTAACACCAACTACTAATTTAAAAAAAATCCTACCCAGTTTTTTAAAGAAATGATTTTTTAAAATGTAGGAAAAAACATGGAACAAAACTGTAGGAATGTTTTCTTATTCATTAAAAGAACTAAATGGGGAAGAAACCATCCTGAGTGAGGTAACCCAGTCACAAAAAGAGAAACGTGGCATGTACTCTCTCATATATGGATTTTAGACGTAGATCTGGGGAGTGCCAGCCTACAGTCCCATGAACAGAGAGTCTGGGAAACAGAACCTTCATTCAGTGGCTGATGGAAGCAGAGGCAGACTCCCACAGCTAAGCACTGAGCTGA